GTCAATCTAGTTGTACTTGTTGTCAACAAAGATCAAGTTGAGATTCTCCTACACTAGTTGAAAATCTTGAGACTGATGATGAAAAAAATAGAGGGAAAATCCGAAAATGATGCAAATGATAAACAAAGTGGTAACGAAAGTGTACTAATTATTCAAAACTTAAAGAACTTCTACAACCAGTTTAGTCTTTCTAGAGATAACAATTATCAAAGATTGAGCTTAAGATTGCAACATCAATCTTTAAAATATAAGTGGAAAATATTTTGTGACATCAAATTAAACAAGATCCTTTAATCGATGAACATTTTGGTGCAAAAAAAAATCACAATCAGTTAGATCGGGCCGGTTAATAATCTGCAAATTCCTATAACCAATATTTAGTTTACCATCCCGACATGTTCTGATCTCAAGACAGACATAAGAAGGAAGAAACGAACAGATGTAAATAATATGATTCGTAAGAGTGAGAGAAAGAGTCCAATAAGAAGGAGTTCGCCCTAGAAGACCTCCTCTCAGGCACCACAACTGAGGCAGCCGCCGTTCACCTTCTCCAACGAGGATGGGATCTCTCCGCCGTTCGTCTCACCGGATCTCTGCCTGAGAGCCAGTCTTCAGCTCCGTTGGTAGTAGCACTTTGCCGACGAGAACAGTCCTCACTCCCTCCACCTCTATCCTCCATGGCGTTCTCCTCTGCTCCGCCGTGCGTAACCATTAAGACTCTCTCGTCGCCGTCTCGGACAATGAGATGCACGAGGCTTTCCAACTTCCAGACGTTGACTCGTCCGGCGACCTCGAACCCTCCGGACCCACCGGTGCCTCCAGATCCTCCTCCACCGTCTACAAATCTGAAGCCGGCATCCGAGATTTCCCTATCGCTTCATCGTGAGGACTCAATCGAATCTCCTCCCTCCTTTACGATCGCCGGATCTAATTTTTGCACCGACGATTGTGGCCACCGAGTTCAGCAGTACCAACGTCGAATCTCTCGAGAAGCCTCCAAATGTCTGAGCGGCACCAGATCGGAGACTTTCCCTGCGTTTCTTCGTAGGCTTATTGCCCTATCTCTCGGTGGTTTCCCCCTCCGTATCCACCTCTGAGTCCATGCGTATCAACGGTCTTCTCCGGCTATAGCCGGAGGTGACTATACCGGCAATCCACCTCTCTCACCGGAAAAGGACAACCGCAGCCTCAGGTCACAAAACCACTCGATCCTCCACCGTGAGGATTTGATGTTGGATATGGGCCTAGGTGATATGGAAATGGGCTTGTCAAAGCTAAAGTCATCGAAGCCCAAATTGAGTATTTTGCTCATTAAATTTGACCCATTAATAAGATTTTCAAAAGTCCAACGTCACAGAAAGTGACCACTTTGAGAATTTCCGGCTTTGCCAAGAATACCCATTTGACGCATTCGAGACACGCCTTAGATTCGCTGTCCATCTCCCGCGATGAATTATCTATCTTTCAATTATGTTGCATTGTGAATAGAATTTGATTAATTCCCAATATTTGTATTTTGAAATATTAATGAAGAAATTAAGATTGTTAACAAAAAAAATAATAATATGATTCGTAACCAGACAAAAATATCATTATAACCAGCCTTAAGACAAATACTAAGTTTTAAATATAAAATGTTGTCCATGAGTAAATTTATTGGTTCCCATAGTAAAAAAAAAAAAACCCGAATCCTAATAGTTCAACATACATTACGAAGAGTAACGTAATCAATACTGTTAAATATTGTATCTATTATGGGATCTTGAAAAAAGCTAAAACATATAAAAAGAGACAAACCAATGTATAAATATCA